CCCTCATCCCTTCCCCGCGGAAAGCTCGACGTTTTGGGGAGGGAGTTTCTTCTGATTTTTTATTTCCCGGTCGCTACCGGGAGCCGTGAGATAAAGCACAACGGGCTGGTTCCTCCGCGTGTGCCTGTCGCTGCCGGTGGCTTGCTTTCCTTCTTTCCTTCTTTTTTTTTTTCCCCTTTCCTTTTTTATAGGCGCATGTTCCCTTTCCTAAGTTTTAATATTTCTGGTCTCGACCCCACGGCTCACTACAATATTTTTGTGGATGTCATTTTGGCGGATCCCAACCACTGGAGATTTCAGGGAGGCAAATGGGTTCCTTGCGGCAAGGCGGACACCAATGTACAAGGCAAGTTCCTCCAATTAACACTTTTCCCGACACATATGTAGGTGAGAATGATTAATTAAAGCCTTTGTGGACTGGCTCTGGCGACTTCTTAAAGGAGAATGGGCCAATGACGCTTTTTTTTAAAAAAAAAAGAAGGGTAGAGGAGAAAGTAAAAGGTGCTCGGAAAACGCTGTTTTAATCCTTCTCGGCTAAAATGAAGGGAGTTTCGGCAGTAAAATACCGCCAACTTCAACAGGGTCCTTCGGCCTCGTGTGCTGCTGCAGTGGCAGAACCGGGGTATACGCGAGAACTGTGATGTGGTTGTGTTTTTTGTTGTTTTGCTTAGGAAACCGGGTGTATATGCACCCCGACTCCCCCAACACGGGAGCCCACTGGATGCGCCAGGAAATCTCCTTCGGGAAACTAAAACTCACAAACAATAAAGGAGCATCAAACAACAACGGGCAGGTCAGTGGGGGAAACGCAGACGCTCTGCCAGACTTATTTTTATTGCCTCAGGCAAAACCCTGCCGTTTCCGAAAGGACGTGTATTTCTTTAGATCCTGTCGTTAGGTGAAAATAAAAGGGTGGTGGTGGTGGGGGAAAGCCCTCCCGTTTATCCTGCCGCGGGCCTCGTCGACCCCTCGTCGAGCGCGTTGCCCAGGCTGACACCGCTGCCCGGCGTGGCCGGGGGAGGCGGCGGCGGGGTCCCGGGGAGGACTCTCCCCGTCCTTCTCGCTCTAATTTCCTCCTCTTCCCGCGGCCCCCTCCCTCCTTTTGCTCTGCCCGACAGATGGTGGTTTTGCAGTCCCTCCACAAGTACCAGCCCCGCTTGCATGTGGTGGAGGTGAACGAAGACGGGACGGAGGACACCAACCAGCCGGGCAGAGTGCAGACCTTCACCTTCCCCGAGACCCAGTTCATAGCAGTCACCGCCTACCAAAACACCGATGTAAAGAGCTCCCCGGTTTACCCCGCTCGCGGTCGCCCGCGCTCCCTGCAGGGCACCCCGCCGAGGCCGGCCCGGCCCGGCCGCTGCGCTCCTTCCCCCGG